TGAACCAGTTGCTAAAGTGGAAGAAGTCATCTGAAGAGGAAGCTGATATGGGGGGTCACAAGCTTAGAGACTTTTAAACAAACCGTGCCAGAGCCTTGAGCAAACTGTACAGAGGAAATTTAATTATATGAGTCAATACATTCTCTTTATTGTTTGAATAAGTTTGAATTGAGTTTTCTATTTCTTGGAATTAAAATTATTTTAAGTCGGTGATGGGCAGGAAAGCAAACCCCGATTTACACAGTGGGCACTTACTCACTATGCAATGATAGTGGCTCATAGAAACTGTTCTTTGTCTGAGATAGAAACATATGACCATGAAGAAGCCTATTCTCTAGTAAAGACAGCTCTGGTTACCCTGGAAGGTGCAGGTCATAAGCCCATTCCCCTCGCTATTTTATAAGGCTTCCTTTGGTGTAACTTTCAAGTGAAATGTTCAACTGGAAGACTTTTGCTTCCATTCATATGGACACTGAGTACAGGGAGGCTGTGCATTAGCACTGATTTTCATTAACAAGGCACTGCTTTTTATCACATTCTGCTTCCTGTTAGTGTAACAGTGGGGAATTGTAACCCACCCCCCATTACTTTGACATGGCTTCTGTAAATGCTGAGTCTGACTAATATGTAGCTTATAGATAAACAGTATGTTTGTATAAGAATCCTAGAAACTAACTTCATAAGATACAGACTCAGCCATCCAAGTTCTGAGAGATATGCTGACCTTCAACCATAGAACCAGGATGGCGTAGAACCAGAATGACAAAAACCAGGATGGCGCACACCATACCATCACTTGATCAGCTTTGAGATCCTTATTGGAATAGATTGTGTTGGCCACACATAGAGCACTTTTCAAGCCCCTCCCCTTAACATCTTTGTTCTGCTTTCCCTTGCCTTCCTTATAAAAACCCCTGACTGCACTAAGGTGGAGAGAAAGGCATGGCAATAAAAGTCCCCCATCTTCTCAGGTGGCTGACACTTGAATAAACCTCTTTCCTTTTTCACCAGCACCTGTCTCATGAATTTGGCTTTTGTGATGTCAGGAAGCTGACCCTGGTTTTGGCTAAATTAGCACAGTACAACACTTTTTATGTGATCTAAGAATTGAAGAGAACAGCTTGCAAGTGTATGAATAGATTTCAGAGGACTGGCACTCAAAAACTTGTTAATTCAATGGGCATTATTAATTACATACCATGTGTTCAAATCTACATAGTAGACAGAATTAAAAAACAAAGAGGGGAAAAATCCTAATTTGATGAAGCTTACAGCCTAATGGAAAATAGACATACAAACATGTAAAATGCATGTTCCAAATGCTACATGTTCTAGATGTATTTAAAAGTAGCATGTCAGTAATAATTAAATGAACATTACTTCCTTCTGAAAAGGTCAAGTTAAACTACCAGGAGATGGACACTTTTTAAGTAAGGCTTAAGATATAAGTAAATTTATCAGGAATAAAGTCAGGAGGAATTTGGCGTTCATTGTTGAGAAACTATACAGTCCTCCTGAGTTTTCTATCTGAGATCTGGCACTGCAAAGGTCACAAAGGTCATAATTGTTGCTTGAAGAGGACATGGAGGGCTATTGAAAATGGCAGAAAAAGTGGAGGGAAGCAGGGAACACACAGGAAAAAGCATTGTGAGAGAACCATTGGCTGTTCTGGGCGCAGCCGGCAGGGAAAATGGAGAGCTGAGTGCACTAGAAGGAGTTTTATTGATGAAAATTTATGGCAATTCACAATTAAGATCTATGAAAATGTGACTGTCATAGTCTTACGCATAAACTAATTAATGTCAATTTTACCATTTGAGTCATGAGTAGCCATTGAAGGATTTTGAAAAAAGATGACATGATTGAAAAGGTTATTGCAATGACCACATGAAGGGCATTTTGGAGAATGGGCAGGAATGGCCAAAAGGTGAAAGGAAGGGAGAACATTTAGGAAATCATTGGAAAGGCCAGGGAAGGATTTTACTGCCCCAGCTACAGCAGTGGCAGTGGCTTTGTACAGAAGGGAAGGAGTCTGAAGTGACTACCAGTATAATAGGTGGTAAAACAGATGGCGGACAATGATTGATTAGTCACAGTGGACAAAAGTGTTGAGATTTGCAGCTTGTACAGTGGAGTCGATAGCAGTTATTTTTAACACGGTACAAGAAGAGATGTACATGAGTGAGAATTGAATTCTGTTTGGAGTTTAGGACATAAATCAACAATTCATCTAAAAGCTCTCTGTTCCTGTTTCCAAAGTACAGATGCTTTTATAGGTCCTGGAATTGTTTCAGCTGTGAAGTGTTTTGGGCAAGGTAAGAAAGAAAAGGTCATAATGAAGTCCTAGTGTTCATTCTAGACTATTCCATGGCCCTGGAAAGCCACAAGGGCCCGGGGCACACAGCAGTTTTAACTTTTCCAATCTTCATATCTTCTCAGTATGTACCCATTCACAAACAACCTGCCTGAGAAAAGGTGTCCCATCAGATAACACAAGGGGCCCCCCTATCATACTCCAATTTCTTCCATTTTTACCAAAAAGAGCTAACTTCTCATGTGTCCCTAATCTTACTACAGTGTCATTACTGTAGGGACTTGTAAGTGAACAAAACAGGAAAATAATCTCTTGCTTCATGGACCTTGCCTTTTAGTGACTAAAAGGGTAATTCGAAATATCAGTGTTAGAGTTTAGAAAGTAATGATAATAACTGAATAATCAACTGCTGCAAAGAACATGTGGTTTCCAATTATTTGCATTCAAAAAAATTCAAGTAGAGCTATATGAAAATCTTGGCATATAAATAGAAAGAGATCAAATAATTGAGCGACATTCTCATAACAAAACTTTTGAATTCTTTCTACTTGCTCTTTTCAACCAGATGTCTTAGCAATTTCACTGTGAAAATCAAAGCAGCAAATGCTGCCGAATCCTGTCTCACTCTTGCCGGAAGCAGTGACGTCTATGAGTAAAACACTCTGCAGAAGAGGCCTGCTTATCTCAACCAGGTGCTGCTTCAAAATTTTATTTGGATAGTCAATAATTATTTATCAACAGTGTGATGTCCATTGTATACTAATTCCTGAAGATGCTTTTAAAATGCTTGGACAGTTCTGGTCAAACACAACCTTAAAGGATTTGTCCTGTTAATTTGTTGAATGTTGTGTGAACTATTCAATCAACAGCAAGGCCTGAAGAGGTGGAGGGAAAGTCTCTCTGGCCTCAACAGTTTCTAAACAACTTAAGTGAAAAACATTCTTCTTAGAGAAAATAAATTTATATACTAGACTTACTTTCTTATGACACAGTTGGCTTAGTTAAGTTCACAGTATAGATGTTATCACGTCAATGAGCCAAAGCATTCTTGGAAATGATAATCATCGTTTCAATAAGAAAATCATTCTGAGTGTGAATGTAAAATCAATGGCCCCATAAATCACGGTGAGAATATTTATTACATTAATGTAACTGGAAATATTAAAACAATATTTTTCCTATGTAATAGAGTAAGATTATAAAGTCAAGATCCTAATTATATCAGCAAAACCAGTGTGAAGGCAAAGTATAATGACTTTTAATGCATTTTAGGTGCATATTTTAATATGTCTTGCACTTTATCTTGAAAAAAAGCAACTGTAAGTGGGTGGGATACATTTTACTAGTCTGCTGATATGAAAATACACTACTTCACGATATTTCAGAAAACCCTAGCATCTAGAGTAATATATATTTGGGGGTTTCTTTTCCTTCAATAGTTTTTATGATAAGCTGTCGTAGGACATCATCATCAATTGGTGTTTAAAAGTGGGGGCAGAGGTCATTGCACCAGGCAGACCAGCCTCGTTTCCTGATGGACTATAACAGATAAGCACCCGTGACAGATAAAAGCCCAAGTTCTATTCCATTGTATTAAGTTAAGAGCCACTGCATTTAAAGTGGGAAAGGGGCCAGCAACAGACTACTAATCACACTCAAATACATTTAATTGTTAATTTCGTATTTCTCTAATCATATATCTGCACAAGATTGCTTTCATTTCCTGTATCCCAGAAAAAGCACATACAATTTCATTTTGCACCACAAAGGTGGGAAAATTTTTGGAAAACCCTAGTTTAATAGTAGATGAGCCTATAAAATAGCAATAGTCACCTGTCCTCCTAGCATTTAATCCATAAAGCAAAAACTGCACGAGGTAAAACTTATACCATTTGTTTTCCATTCTGATTAGAATATAGAAATTCACAAGAGACTATCGTGGCCACAATAACAAAGAAGAGAAGATTCCTAATTAAGAAAAGAAAAAAAAATCAGTGAGCTGAGCAAGGCAGAGAAACTTAATTGCAGGAGAAAAAAAAGTCCATGTTGCTAACAGCTGTGAGCAGGGCACAGGGAGAAACCAACACAACAGAAGCAGGATGAAGCACCCGGCGAAACTTTCAACACGCCTTTCACGGCCACGTCAGGGCGCTGTCAGGTTAGGCTCCTAGGGAACCCCAGGAGCCTCATGAGGGCAGAGCGGTCCATCGACAGCAGGAAAGCAGAGGCGGGACTAGGACTGAGAGAGAACCTCGAGGAACATAAGTTTTTGCAAAAACTGAAGGTCAGCAGGTGGCCAAAGCTTTGGGTAGGGTCCCATCGCTGGCAGAAATACTCTGGGGAATACCTGGTTGTTCCTGCAAGACCAAGGCAGGGGAGAGTTGCTGATGGAAACCCTTCCCGAAGGCACAGCCCTGGTCACCGAAGGCTGGGCTCTGCAGGAAAATTTAAATAAATGACCCACAGTGCCCGGCCCTTTCCAAGTGCGCAGCAACACGCTGAAAGTGACTGGCAGGAGACCCCCCCAAACAACTCAGCAACGGCCCAAAGACGCAGCACAAAGGCCAGGATCACTGAGCCAACCCCGCGACGCACTCAAAGTCCTCAACAGCCGAAAGCAGCACACTGAAGGCGGTGGAGGGGGGACAGGATTAAGCAAGACGTCCAGAGAACATAAGGTAAGTACCTGAGCATCTGCAGCGGTGGGAACCGGCTTGAAAAGAAGAGAGACCCGTGGAGCGTCGCCAGCACTCGGTTCCAATCCTTGCCTAAAATAAGGAGAGAAAAAAAGGAAGAAAATTTTGATTCCATCTTAAAACATTTGAAGCCAGTGATTATCTGAATCGAAATAAATACAAAAAGCAAACAAACACAGAGCTAACTCATCTCTGAGTTAAATGGATTTCTTCATCCACCCGGACGGCCTGATGGAGGAAGAGCCAAAAGTATAAATATTTTCTAGTTCAGTCTCCACGGTTTTGTTTACAAACACAGGATGCGTGGAGCAGTGGGATAAAGAGACCCCATTACAGGAGATAAAACAGCAATCGAAGGTGGCACGCAGCAACCGGAATCCGCAAAAACGGACTTTTTAAAAAATGCTGTAAATACATAAAATAACCTAGTGGACAATTTGTGAAACGTGTGAACAGATGCGAGACGTTCGAAAGGAAATCAAACTATGAAAAGGAATGAAAATAATGGAAGAATTCACTGGATGGGCTTAGAGGAGTCTGGGCACAACAGGAGGAGACAGGACAGTGAACCTGAAGACAAGTCACTAGAAATTAACCAAATCGAAGCCCATAAAAAATAAATAAATAAAGCGTGGGTCTCAGACCTACGGGACAGTACATGTGTTTAACATGTGTGTAACGTCACAGAGAGTGAGAAGAGATTATATTGTAATGGACCTGAAGAAATGTTTGAAGAGAAAATGGCCAAAAGTTTTCAAAGAATTGAACATTCAAGCATTTATATATAAGAATATATATAAGAAAGTTTACTCAGAATAAATATATATATACACACACACACATATACAGATATACTATATATTCTCAGCAAACATATGTAACAATATGTCTATATATAAGACTATAAGCGATATTCATATATAAGAATATATACATTATAAGAATATAAGTCTTATATACTTATATGAGAAGACGTGTGTGTGTATATATATACACACACACACATATATATATATATACACATATGAATACTTTTATCAGGCTTTTATATTCTGGTAAAAACCATATACAAATACAGCTATCATCATACTTAATTGGAACATACTGAATACTTTCTCCTGATTTGGGACAAAATGCATGTCTACTTTCATTACATCCATTAAGTACTTCATCAGATCACTTATCCAGTGAAACAAGACAAATAATAAAAGGTGTAAAGATGAGAAAGGAGTAGAAAAGTTTTTAAAATAAATTTCAATTGCACATATATATATATTCACCTATATGTATATATGTATATGTGTGTGTCTATGTTCAAAAGTCAGATATTTATAGAAAATACTCAAACTAATAAATAAATTCAGCAAAAGTCTTAAGATACAAGTTCAATATGAAAACATTACTTGTATTACTACATACTAAAAGCAAACACTTGCACAATTAAATGATGAAAATATTATTTACAAAAGCACCGAAACTTACAAAAATTTTAAGGGAAAAAAACTAACAAAAGAAATGTAAGACTTTCACACTGAAATGAAACAAATCAGAAGTGAGAAACTAGTTTAAAACTGTATTAACAGAGACGCATTCTGTGTCAATGGAATGCCAAGTGTACATGTTGTTAACTGTCCTCTTCAAAATGATTTGTAGTTCTAACAAAACCCTATAAAATATTCCGTAGGCCTTTTTTTGTCAAAGTTAACAAGCTGATTCTAAATTTTACATAGAAATGGAGAGAACCTATAATAGCTTAAGAAGAATGAGCGAATTTGGCAGACTTAAATTTATTTTACATATTACTGTAAAGAAACAGCGATGGAGATAGCGTTTTATTACCATAAATGTAGACAAATTGATCAATGGAACAGAATTTAAAAAGCCTGAACTAGACCCACTCATATATCATCAATTGATTTTCAGCATCTGCACTAAGGCAATTTGACAGGGAAAAGAAAATCAATTCTAGAAATGGTGTTGGACCAGCTGGATACACACACTCAGAAATAAACCTTGAACCCTATCTTAATACTGAAGATTTAAAAATAAGGTGAATCATGAACCTGAACCAAACTGGAACCATAAACCTTCTAAAGAAAGCTTAGCAGGACGACTGAGATCTTGGAAAAGCAAAGATACTTTTTGTGCAGGTAACAAAAAACCCTGAACATCAAAGAAAAGTGATATAATTTGCTTAAGGAAGATTATTTCTAATTATCAGGAGATATTAAAATAGAACAACAGGTAAATCCCATCATGAGAAAATATCCTTAGTGCCTGTATTTCACAAAGTATTCACATCTATAACGTGCAAAGATTTTTACAAGTCAATGATACAAACACACCCCAAATTATAAACTGGCAAAAAGATCTAAAAAGTCAAAGATCAAAAAGAAGATATACTAATGGCCAATGTGCACGTGAAAATATGCTCAGTAATAGTGACGCGATGAAAATTTAAACTACAATGTACTGGACACCAGTTCCTCGACCAGGAAAAGCAGAACATGAACGCTACGGGGCGCCGGCTCTGGGGAGCAGCTGGAGCTGTCAGGCACTCCCGATGGGGGCACCGGCCGCGTGACCGTGTAGCAAAGCTGCCCGACCCCTTCTCCTGGGGCTGAAAACATGTGACCCACTCCCCTCAACTCACATACCAGCAGCTCAAACCCACATACCAGCAACTTACATACCAGCAGCTCAAACCCACGTTCACAGACAGTCTTGCACAAGAAGGTTCTGCCGGTTTTATTTACGGTAGCCAAAACCTGAAAAATAACAAATGTCAAATTGGGTGATTTATCCGTATGGTCATGCGGCGTACTACTATTCAGCAATAAATGAAACGACCACGGATGCAGAATTTAAAAAACACTCCACGCAAACCATTGTCAGAACTCCTTTATCTGTCTACTTAATATCTGTGCATCGTTATTCTTACCTCAATAAAAGTTATATAATTCTATGGCATTTTTACATGGACTTTAAATTGTTAAAGAATTTACATGAAAGGAATTAACTCTTTTAAATATGTTTTTATTGATTTGAGAGAGAGAGAAAGGGAGAGGGAGCGAGAGAGGGAAGCATGGATGTGGGGGAAACCCATGGATTAGTTGCCTCCCTTTGCACCCGCAACCTGGGCATGTGCCTGGACCAGGAATTGAACCGCTGACCTTCTGGTGCGTGGGCCGACGCTCAACCAACCGAGCCGTACCGGCCAAGGCTGAGAGGGATTCCTTCTTAAAAGTAACTCCAGATCCCGGCAATTCCATTTGGGCAGGATATAAAAAACAGCCTTCTTATCACCTGTGTGATGGCCTGGACACTTTTTCAGTATTTTCATAACAATTACATTTCTTTAATGAGGATTCCTGAGTGCCTCCTGTATGACAGAGGCCACACTGTCTGTCAGAGGCATGCAGTCGTTATAAAACGATTTGTGGCTTTGGGATTATAGTAACGAGGGGACTCAAACTAGTAAAATCTAAGGTCAATAAGATATACAGTATAAAAAAAGCAATTATTGACAAAATTGAGGCAAGGCAGGGCCATGTTTTAAAATGTATTTTACATTACCCTAAGTTTAAAAACCTCTCTGTGATGTTGTATCAACTCTCAATCTAATTTCCAAGGCATTTAAAGTTTACACATAGCTTAAAGAATCTTTCTTCAAAAGTTACTAATTAATTGACCTTCAGGTGACATTTTAAATATCAATCCAATAGGGAAAACCCTTAGCAAATAATGGAAAATTAGAGAGAAAGACCATCATAAGCAGGTAGATAAGAACAGTAATTATAACCTAGATCAGTTCAGATAAGCAATACATTAATGTTCATTAATGACATGAATAAAGCAGAAGACCTTATAAAATTAAGTTACTTTTTAATGGAAAATGTATTAAGCTGTGGACCTGGACGAGGTTCTGTCTTAAGCCATATTAGCCCATATCCTCTGACCTCTCCCTACACAAGAGTTTTGACAAGATTGATGAAACCTTTAACTTGAACGACAGTGCAGGTCCAAAATGTTTATTTAGCCCAATGAAACTAGCCTCACACACAGCCTATTACATTCTAAACCCACAAAACCGAACCAGTGAAAACAAAGCACATCACGTTTTCCAAAGTCATTCAAATTTCATTCCTTCAGGCGTATGTGCTCGATCCCCTCGGTTAATCCTTCATTTCGGGGTAAGGCTGCCTTCAGAGGTGAGACGAACTTTCCACCTTTGCCTCTGCCCCGTGTCACTAGCTTCCCTCTATATTCAAGCAGAGTTTCAGAGGAGGTCTGGGCTTCACCAGGAAACGTGGGAACAAGCCTTTCGTCTCATTGCCGCTGAATCGTATGGACCTGGGCAGAAGGCTCTCTCTAGGTTCAACCCGAGGAAGGCTTTCCTATGTTCTCAGGTGCTCCTGAGATGGAAGGTGAGTTCCCAAGATGCCTGAGATGTTTGCCAACCAAGAGATCTGATTAAAATAAGAAACTACAAAACCTTCTCTTGTAGAGACTTCATGCCCTTCCTGTAGCTTGTTCTGTTTAGAGATTGATCGTCGTATCAACTCCTGTTTATTACTTGCTTGCACGGTTATGATGGTGATAACACAGCGCATCGCAACTATCAGTCCCGTGGGACAGGAACCGGCACTACGAAGTGATTCTGATACTGAGATTGCATCTAACAGCGATGGGGAAATAAAGCGAATGGCAGTTACGTGTCATCTGCTGTTAGCATGCATGATGTTGGATGTCAATAGAGAGGCTATACTTGAAACTCACAGTTGATAAATTTGGTTTTCTCTTAGGTTTTAACTTAACCACCCTGGCTTTCATATTTTTCTCCACGGCCTTCGTACGTGGAACCAAGAGCTCATTCTCTGATGCTCACAGAGGAGTCGATTATTCAGGACGACTGGTTTGGGCCTTGCATTCATCACACACTCTATTCTCTTTGTACTTTAAAAAAAATCAATTGACTTTAAATAATTCTCTTAGGGTTCCAATTTTTGAAGATGTTAAGCCCAGAATTATTGCCAGAATGTAAATTACGCACATAGATAGATGGGAATGGCATTAGTTGCATTAACTTGGGCAGGATTAATCGTTCACACTGCTGTTTCATGTTCTAAGGGACTTGGTAGACACCATTGCTATACTTCCAGGTATTCAGAGTATCTAAGTTCAAAGATGGAAACTGACTCTCATGTGCCCAGTGAGTGGTCCTTCCACACACAAGAGAGTTTAAAACTCACAGACACAGCTATTGGCCGTGTTCTTATCTTATCCGGAGAAGCCCCCTCAACATGAATAATTCCGAGCAGCCACATTCCAATAATTTTATAATTATCCAGTGATAAATTATTTTGTGTGATGTTAGAACTCGGTTTTAATATTTGACATCGCAATTAATTCTTCAAGGTTCATCGCCCACAAAATAATAATTTCAGTCACATAAAGGGAACTATACATTCAGATAATTGTGCAAATGGATTTCATTTAATTATTTCTAAAACAGTTCAGACTCACAGCTCAATTAAAAGGTGATGGATGGCACGTAATTTGTTCCCTGTATGGATTATAGATTGGAGATAACATTTCCTCGGGAGATCTTTTTTCCTGCCTGTGGTGGCTTCACAGTCTGTTGTTCTAAATGTGCACTGATCGAACTCGCAATTCCCTTTCGTCCCAGCGGGTCTCAGGCTCCCAGTGTTTGTCTGCCTGTGTACTTACATATTTTAAGGAGATATGCTAATCAGTACCCAGATCCGGGAGTCTCAGGGGATCTAGCAGAAATGCGTCGCAGATAATATGTTTTAACCATTTTAAAGTCAGAACTCAGAAGCGAAGGTTACTTATTTAGCACAAAAGCAAGTTCACAGCATCCTTGCTGCTCTCAAAATCTTCCTTAGAAACTCTTTCAAAAAGATCTGTTCCTGCGAATCTGGAATTTACTGCCTAAAGACAATAGGTTGGAGACTGACATATTCCATGTAAAAATGTAAAGAATAGGTAATTATATTAAATGAACTTCCTTTGCCAAAGACATAAACAGCCCAAGGATAACGTTTCCTGAGCTATTTTGGGCGTTTGAATTATTGGAGATTTCTGTAGCACAGCAGATTGTGACCTGAACTGCTCATCACAAATCCTCAGAAACAAAGTGTTTGTCTTGCCTCCGCCGACAGCCGCATGAATACGAGAGAGAAAATGCAATTATGTTTTGCAAATTCAAGGGAGGGACTGCTCAGTAAAATTTCCACGTCCGACTAAATTAAGCAGAGGTGCGTATGGCTGTACCCTTCCACCCAACAACTGGCTTAGACTGAGGTAGATAATGTACCTGCGCCTTCAAGTTTAGGCCCTAGAGTCAGGCGAAAGTGACTACACCTCATTGGTTTATGGATTAAAATTAATAATTTATATCCTTTCAGAAGCTTTTCCCAATATTTCTACAGTCACTGTGACCACGAGGACCCCAACTTCAGCTTGACAGACCTTAGGCCTGGTCCTCCCTGCCGAGGAGCCCCTCCTCCCCTTTCTTAGAACATTTACCTTCAAAACTTGCAATTGCAAATTCTTACCCTTTGAGATATAAATCTTCTCCCAGCCTCTGGCCAGCTTTCCACCACAGCACTGTCGTTCTCAAGGCCCCAGGAGCCTTGAATTGTAATCATCTAAGGAGACAGGGCCCCAACACCAGTGATCTCTGTGGGGGGGTAGCAGCCTCTACAGAAGGCAGCAGACACAGGTGGCCGAGCACCTGGGCCAACCCAGCTCCGATGTCCTCCCGTACCTTTCTCTTTTGTTTTTTCCAATTACAGTTGACATTCAATACTATTTTATATTAGCTTCAGGTGTGCTGCATCGTGGTTAGACATTTATATAACTTACAAAGTGATCTTCCCAATATTTCCAGTATCCACCTGGCACCATCCATAGTTATTACACTATTATTATTGACTATATTTCCTATGCTGTACTTCACATCCTCGTGACTGTTCTGTAACTAACCATTCATATTTATTAAACCATTTTCCATTAGTTCACTCCAGGATTAAAAAATCTCCCAGCCTTTTGTTTCCTGGGAATGGAGGTCAGACTCTCTTTGTAATTACATTTACATCGATCCCCAGTAGGGGGCGAGCAGGAGGCGCCCATCGATGATTCTCTCATCAATGTTTCTCTCTCTCTCCCTCTCTCTTCCTCTCTCTCTGAAAAAAATCAATAAAAATATATTTTAAAAAATTAAAAAATAAAAATCACATCATTTTTTACTCTATTCTAGTGTGCCCATCTAGGAGAAAAGAATCCTCTGGGTTCAGACACAGACACAGGCACACACACACACAATGCTTTAGTAAATAAAATGGCTAAAGGAGTAGCTTTAGTTAAGATACATGTCGGTGTGAGACTTGGGACAGGAATTGTTTGATATTCCGAAGGCCGGACTCTTGGACAACTAAGAGGGAAAAAAAAACAAGCTGTTGTGTTTCACGCATTAAGCACATTTTAAAGATTGGAAGCTGAACTCTTCAGAATCGAGTCACACTGTGATTTATGTTTCAAGGCTGAAAAATTATTGCTTAAATGCAGCAGAAACTTTGAAAAAGGAAAGTAATGCTAGCAAAATGGATCGTGAAATGTACTAATATCAGCGTTGTAAATTTATGTGTATCGACTGCATCTAACCCTAAGCAGAGATGGAAAAAATACTGAGAGGCTCTGTCCTATAATCCGCATCCCGGCGTGACAGGCACGGGAGCTGAAT